AGCACAAAATGGCTGCCAGGCTCCCTTCTGGTGTGGGCTTTTAGCTGTTTCCTGCTCTTTTCCCTGCTCTTTGGGGGCTACCAAAGCCTGGTAAGTGACTTTCTTTTATTTATTTTTAAGTTTCTGACCCTTTCCCCCCTCCAGAAGCCTCTAAGGGGAGGGAGGGGGGACTTTTTTCCCCTGTTCATAACTCGAGGGAAGTTCGTATGTCGAGTCCTTATTTCCCCTATAGGGCGGGTTCGTAAGTTGAATTGTTCGCAAGTATGGTCGTTCGTAAGTCGAGACCCCACTGTACTCTAAGCACTGAAAAGATGTGCCCTACGCACTACATGAGTGGGATCAGATATCTCTTGTGTCAGAGAGGGTAACAAGTCCTGCATTGCTCCTGATTATGTGGCCTCAGCATGGATGCTAAAGTTCCCCAGTACAACAAATAAAGGGGACTGCAGCATCATCCTACAGAGTATATTGACTGTTGTACAGTCTACTCAGATTCTGATCAGCACACTGAACAGAATCCCTGTTGTTGGTGTTGAAGAGGGCAGAGCTGGGAGACTGACTCTTCCAACTTGATACAGCCAGTTCTCTGTAACTCAAGACAGGTCAGCATGCTTGTTCAAGACCAGGTCTTAGAAAGCTACAGCCTTCCCCTTTAATGACCTGGAATTTAGCAGCATTAACCAAGAGGAACCATCACAAAAATTATCCAGTCTATTTGATTTGGGGACCACCAACACTCAAGCTTCTCCCATTTCTGCAGTTGTGAAAGTCTCAACCTTCCTTATCTCCCTCTGCCTTCAGTAGTTCTAATGGTTAGTCAATGTTCCCCATTAACACCCTCTTTCCACCAGCAGGAAGTGACAGCATCAAGAGCAGCTTGTGGACATAAGTGAATCTGACAAATAAACAATAACATCCTTCTTCTCTCTCTGTTTGGCCTTGTAGTTCTCTCAAACAGGCAACTCCACCTCAGCAGTAGGCCCACCTATGTCCCTCCTCCCAATTCAGAAGAAAATCAGAGGAGCCAGATGGAGATGGCTAGTTGCTAGCAACACTGGAAGCCCACTCCTGTGAGGAAGAGGAGCAAGACTTTCTGTAAATGGAAGTCCTTACAGAAGAACAGACAGCAAAGACTGGCAGGAAAGCAACAGGCAACGTTCATACAGCCTCTTCCCTGGCTAGTGCTAAATTATTAGCGTTAAATTATTAGCAATAATTTGCTGCTGCAACTTAGTAATTTCACCTATGCACACATACATCACCAATAGGAGTTTGGTCAACATGTGTTAGCTACAGCTACTGTTTCCTTGCTATGAATACAGGAAAAAATCAACAGCTAGTTCTGGGCCTTCTGGTTTTATTTGCCTGTGCTGCCTTCATTATCAAATAGAGAGCAAAACAGATGCAACAACCATTAATTATTTGAGAAAATGCATGAAGAATCTAGCAGAAGATATTACGATTTAAAAATTGTCCGTTTAATCTCTGCATGCTGTTAGTGAAACAGCAGAAAATATATTCATCAAACCACTGGAAACCAACAGTTGCCCACCAAAGAATATTAAGTAAGTAAGAAAGGAAACACAGTTCCATGTCAATTTGAACGCACTGCCGTGCATATGGGCAAATGTAAAAGATACAAAGAAATAACAACAAAATTATGTTCTTTCAAAAAAGGAAAAATAATATAATTACTACATACTATTGGAAGACTCTGCAACCTTAGAAATCTTTGTACCTGGAGGATCTTGACAAATATAGCAGGTATATTTCTCAGGTACATTCTCTTCTAATAAACCCATACAGACTCCATGCTGCCAACAGAGACATTCTTCACACTGTTGTAATCCAAAGACAATTGGGTTAACAAGATAAAACATATTACAAAATTAATTTTAATATTTTCAAAACCTACAACTTCAGAAGGTGGCTGATAACTTATACCTATTTATTTATTATGTAAACTGTATGTTATGTTACCACTATATGTTACTTTTCCAGTTTAAGAACATCTAATATTGTAATTGCCTGTCTAGCCTTGGGCAAACTTCAAAGGAGCCCACAGAAGAAGAGAAAGGCAAACCACTTCTGAGTATTTCATATCTAGAAAGCCCTGACTTTCTGAGTATTAAACACTTAATTCCCACCTTGTCATGACATTTATGATATTATATAGAGTACAGCAATGTCTGACCCTACTTCCAGTGAATCTCAAAATTCCTACCTATTTCTACCATCCACCTAGTCCTCCACCTATCTCTTTCTCATCTTCACCTATCTCGACTGCCATTATGGAGACATTAGAAGGCTCTTTTACTGTCTCAATAACTATCGTGTTTCCCCCAAAATAGGACAGATTCTTATATTAATTTTTGCTCCAAAAAACATGTTAGTGCTTATTTTCAGGGGATTTTTTTTTTTCCATTTACGGCAATCTACATTTATCCAAATACAATCCTGTCATCTTCTTCTGGTTGCTGCACAATGGTGGAGGGCAGGGTTTCACTTAACTGTGGCTTATTTTTGGGGTAGGGCTTATATTACGAGCATCTTGAAAAATCATACTAGGACTTATTTTCAGATTAGATCTTATTTTTGGGGAAACAGGATAGAAAGGCCTGTCATGTAGCTGAAGCTGGATTTACTGGGAAATGTCACTTCCCCAAGACTACAAATAAGATTTGGAGTTTCAGGTCTGCATCAGGCAGCAGTGGGGAATCTACTATTTCTACCATTACTGGAGCATGAGGCCAGGAAAAACATAGGTGATATGAAGAGAAAATGTTCTCTCTTTTACAACTCAATCTGTAATCCTAAAAGAACTTCCAATGCTGTAACACTCATTTTGTTGTAACTAAGTTGAAACTGTTTCAATGACATTATGACTGGAATTCAAATGCTGACTGAAATCCTGTCCTTCCCTATAAAAGTACAGCGTTGGGCTACAAATGAACCATTTTGTAGAAAAGATTTTATGAATGGAAAAGAGAGGTTACCTACCTGTAACTCTGGTTCTTCGAGTGGTACTCTGTGAATTCACACTAATGGGTTAATTCTGCGCCTGCAGAGATCTCCAGAATATTCTAGAGCTTTATGCTAATCTACGGAGGACAGCTGCCTTCCCATCCACGAGGTACGCCTGCCCTCCAAAGTACCTCAGTTCTATAGATAGTCTGCCAGTGCATAGCTAACACAGGAGTGACGGACAGAGGGGAGAACGGGTGGGAATTCACAGAGTACCACTCAAAGAACCAGAGTTACAGGTAGGTCACCTCTTTCTTCTTCGTGGTCTCTGTGAATGCACACTAATGGGTGACGAACCAGCTTGCCTTAGAGGTGGAGGGACGTCACAACATGATTGAAGACAGCACAGCCCATCCAAAGGAGGCATCAGCTTTGGCCCTCAGGTCCAGTCTGTAGTGGGCAGCAAATGTGGATGGCGTGGACCACATAGCAGCTCTGCAAATGTCCAGGAGGGAGACTCCGTGAAGGAAAGCTGCAGATGTGGCAGTGGATCTATTAGAGTGAGCCTTAATCCCGTCAGGTAAAGGTCGTTTAGCAATTTGGAATGCAAGTCTAATAGTGGAAACCAGCCACCTGGAGATTGTCTGTGAAGACATATGGAAGCCCCTATGAGGGGGGTGTGGCGATAGAAAGAGTACCTTAGATTTTCGGAAGGAGGCCGTTCTGGAGAGGTAGAAGGATAGGGCTTTCTTTACGTCCAGTGAATGTAATGAACGTTCAAGGTCCGTTGTAGGGGACGGGAAGAGCGTAGGGAGAATAATAGGCTGTGACAGATGGAAAGTTGACACTACCTTAGGCAAGAAGGAATGAAACATCTAGGAATAAGGTAACTATATCTGGGTTGGAATTGGAGAAGAGGATCAGTTCTCAAGGCCGCAAGTTCCGAAGTTCTATGCGTGGAGGTGATAGTGATGAGAAACAGCGTCTTTAGTGAGATAAGGTATTCAGACGTAGTTGCACGTGGTTCAAAAGGAGGGTGGGAGAGGTAGTGTAGTACCAGAGAAAGGGACCATTGTGGAGGCAGTGAAGGAGCAGGAGGGCACATGTTGGCGACAGCTTGTAAGAAGTTTCGGGTAACGGAAGAGCATGGAAGCATCCGAGTTTTGCAGGTGGTGAGCTATGATTGCAGATAGGTAGACTTCCAGTGTTGAAAGAGACAGGTGATTACGAAAAAGGTAGGATAGAAATTGTAGAACGGTTTCTAGATTGGCTGGATAGATTGGTAAATTGAATTGATTAGCAAACCTTGTGAAGCTAGACCATTTGTAGGAGTATAGTTTAGTTGTGGACAGGCCAAGATTTCATTCACTTGAAACGAGATTCTCCAGGCTGTGAGATTGAGAGTTCATATGTCTGGGTGGTGAGTTTGGCCATGATGCTGTGAGAGTAGGTGTGGGACTGGAGGCAGTCGGAGGTAGTCGCTGCTCAGTGTTTTGAGGAGTGTGAACTATGGCTGCCTTGGACACGAAGTTCTATGCGTGGAGGTGATAGTGATGAGAAACAGCATCTTTAGTGAGATAAGGTATTCAGACGTAGTTGCAAGTGGTTCAAAAGGAGGGTGGGAGAGATAGTGTAGTACCAGAGAAAGGGACCATTGTGGAGGCAGTGAAGGAGCAGGAGGGCACATGTTGGCGACAGCTTGTAAGAAGTTTCGGGTAACGGAAGAGCATGGAAGCATCCGAGTTTTGCAGGTGGTGAGCTATGATTGCAGATAGGTAGACTTCCAGTGTTGAAAGAGACAGGTGATTACGAAAAAGGTAGGATAGAAATTGTAGAACGGTTTCTAGATTGGCTGGATAGATTGGTAAATTGAATTGATTAGCAAACCTTGTGAAGCTAGACCATTTGTAGGAGTATAGTTTAGTTGTGGACAGCTTACGTCCATGAGCCAAGATTTCATTCACTTGAGACGAGATTCTCCAGGCTGTGAGATTGAGAGTTCATATGTCTGGGTGGTGAGTTTGGCCATGATGCTGTGAGAGTAGGTGTGGGACTGGAGGCAGTCGGAGGTAGTCGCTGCTCAGTGTTTTGAGGAGTGTGAACTATGGCTGCCTTGGACACCATGGGGAGATGAGGAACACACTGGCGTGATCTAGTCTGATCTTGGATATGATGTGAAAGAGAAGTGGGAAGGGAGGGAACATGTAAATGAAGTCCGTGGACCAATCTCCCATTAGAGCATCTCCCATGGATCTGCATTCGATTCCGCCTCTGGAATAGAATATGTCGCATTTGGTATTGCTGGGGGTTGCAAACATGTTGATGTCGGGAGTTCCCCAACAGTTTCAAAGGTTAAGGTATATCGTATGGTTTAGTGACCAATTTTGCATTTGGCTTTGCAGGAGGCTGAGGCCATCAGTCATCGTGTTGTTGGGAAAGATATGACGTTTCAGACACAATTCCCGTATCTGAACTAGTGGGAGGGAGTGGGTGCCTCCCTATTTGTTTAGGTAAAACAGAGTTGTTGTGTTGTCTGTTGTGATTTGTACAATGTTGCCAGTCACAAGTGGCTTGAAGGCCTTTGAAAATAGTGAGGAGCTCTAGGTTTTTTATGTGGAGCATTTGTTCTTTGTGTGACCACGTGTCGTGGATTTGTAGTCGGTTGCAGTGTGCACCCCATCCGGTAGTGCTTGTGTCTGTCACAATTTGTATCATGAGTTGTAAACGGGAGAAGGAACGACCCATGAGCAGGTTGGATGGTTTGTCTCACCAGTGAAGTTGGGAAGAGAGTTCTGGCATTGCCCTTAGAAGTTTGGATTGGTTGTCTGTCATGGGATTGAAGAGGGTAAGAAACCAAGATTGGAGGGAGCGAAGTTTTAGTCTGGCGTGAAGAATCGCAGGCCCAAGAGACATTGAGCAGTGTGAGCTGTGACAAGAGCATGTGGAAGGAATTGGTTTATTAAGGTGTGGAGTTTGATTATTCTTTCTTGAGGAAGAAAGACTCTTTAATCGGTGGAATCTAATTCAGCGCCAATGTAGGTAATACGCTGGGTAGGCGTAAGAATAGACTTTTGTTCATTGACCCTTAGACCCAGATCCGCCAGAAATGAGAGAGTACTGTGAATATCCTTTAGAGCTTCTGTGCGAGATGGAGCAACCACAAGCCAGCCATCTATGTATGGAAAGACTGTAACTCTCAGGGTACGCAGATGGGCCACCACAGGGGCGATGCACTTTGTAAATACTCTTGGTGCCGTAGAGACGCCGAAGAGAAGGGCTTTGAATTGGAAGGTGTGCCGTCCTACGGCGAATCGGAGATATTTGCGATGCCGTTGACGTATGTTAATATGGAAATACGCATCACTGAAATCTATGATGGCGAACTAATCGCCTTCTTGAAGTATGGGCAATATTCGTTCTAACGTGACTATCCAAAAACGTCTAGAAATGATGTAATAATTGAGATCCCATAGATCAAGGATCGGTCTTAATCCCCCGTCCTTTTTCAGAATGGTGAAGTGGCGAGAGAAGAAACCGGGATTGTCTTCCATGATGGTGATAGGTGATATGGCAGCTTTTGAGACGAGGGACCGGATCTCTTGTTGAAGGACATCTGATGGTGACATTATGATGAGATTGTGAGGTGGTAAATCTGCAGATTCTATGGTGTAGCCAATGGCAATGATAGTAAATACCCAATTGTCTGATGTGATGGAAGTCCAGGCTGGGAGATGTGGTGATAACCTGGTGGTAGGTGTAGGAGGAAGGTAAGTATGGCAGATTTGGGTCAGAGCAAAGTCAAAGGCCCTGTTTCTGTTTCATCTCAGGGCAACGGAATGACTATTTTGGTCTTTGTCGCTGAATTGTATTCTTTCGTTGGAAATTAGTAGTAGCATGTGTTGAATGTTTATTTCTATCATAGTAATGTTGGAAATTAGTTGAATGTTTATTTCTATCATAGTAAGCCTGTGATTGGTGGTATAGGTAAGGGCGGCACCATTGTGGTCGGTATGGCCTGTATTGTTGTTTCGTGTTATATGATCGCACTGTTTTTTTAAATTTTTTTCAGGTTTTCCAGTATATCGTCAGTCTTGTCGTCAAAGAGGCCGGAGCCATTGAAGGCTAAGTCTTCAATCCTCATTCTAACATCTTCTGGTATTTGTGCAGATTTCAACCAGGCGTAACTGCGGAGGGCTAGTGCCACTACTAGTTGTCTAGATGAGGCATCAATGATGTGCCTGACCGTTATTCTTTCTTGGCGAGCGAGAGTCATGGCTTCCTGGTGGAATGCTAGTCCTCGCGTCTTGTATTCATCCGAGGTTGACTGAAGGGATGGGAGGGCCTTGGACCATAAAAGGCGATGGTACGCTCCCATTGCTGCAATATAATTAGCACCGCGAAGGTTGAAAGAAGCAAGGAAATAAATCCGCCGGGCTGCAACACCTAGTTTCTTCCCTTCTTTGTTATTTGGGGTTGTGGAAGAACAGTGTGTTCTGCTCTGAGTTGCATCTACGATTAGTGAGTTGGGTGATGGGTGTTTGTAGAGGAATGTGGTATCATCCCCATGGGTCCTGAAGACATTTTCCACCTTGCGTGACATTTGCGGGATGGAGGATGGTTTACCATGTTTCTTTGGTCAGGTCCAAAAGTGATGGTATGAAGGTCATACTTGGAGGAAGGGACTGTTGGTTATTGATGTCCTCATACATTTTGGAGGAAGTTGTTTAACATCTAGGGTCAAGTGACTTGGCTACACGTAGGATGAGCTGCGAGTATGAGAAGAAATCATCCGATGGGGATGGTGGATCATTACGATTACTGTCAGAATCAGGCACTGGAAGGTTAGGGATGGACTCCTGGTCTGGTACAGAAAGTGAAGAGCATGATGAGGTAGAGCGCAAAGAAGGAGCAGGTGAAGCTGGGCCATAGAAAGGAGGTGGTGAAGCTGGCACGGTATACAGAGATTTAGAAAGGGATAGTACCAGAACAGTAGGAGTTTGATGGGTTTGCGATGGTTGATGTTGGCCTGGTACCGGGATTTGCTTCTGATGCCCCCTGGTAGATTGTTTGGTACCGGGGGCTAGAGGTGAGGACCAGAATAGGTTGTGGTTGATTGTACTGACTTTTGAGGTAATGGTACTGAGGTATGAGGCTTTTTTGGTACCGTGGTACGGGACCTTGGGACGTCCATGTACTGCCTCTTTCTGGATGTTCAGGATGGTACCGAGTCAATCTCTGATGAGGACCGGGATTACCAGAACAGTAGGAGTTTAATGGGTTTGAGATGGTTGATGTTGGCCTGGTACCAGGATTTGCTTTTGATGTCCTCTGATAGATTGTTTGGTACCGGGAGCTAGAGGTGAGGACCAGAATAGGTTGTGGTTGATTGTACTGACTTTTGAGGTAACGGTACCGAGGTACGAGGCTTTTTTGGTACCGTGGTATGGGACCTTGGGACGTCTGTGTACTGCCTCTTTCTGGATGTTCGGGATGGTACCGAGTCGACCCCTGATGAGGACCGGGATTGGTAGGCATCTCGGTACCCATGTTTGTACCATGAATATGAAGATGAGGATGAGGTGTCCGTATCATAGTAATAGCGGCATCAATATTGACAATTGGTTGATTGACTTTTGAGGTAATGGTACTGAGGTATGAGGCTTTTTTGGTACCGTGGTACGGGACCTTGGGACGTCCATGTACTGCCTCTTTCTGGATGTTCAGGATGGTACCGAGTCAATCTCTGATGAGGACCGGGATTGGTAGGCATCTCGGTACCCATGTTTGTACCATAAATATGAAGATGAGGACGAGGTGTCCGTATCATAGTAATAGCAGCATCAATATTGACAATCTCTGGCTTTTTTGGTACCGTGGTACGGGACCTTGGGACGTCCATGTACTGCCTCTTTCTGGATGTTCAGGATGGTACCGAGTCAATCTCTGATGAGGACCGGGATTGGTAGGCATCTCGGTACCCATGTTTGTACCATAAATATGAAGATGAGGACGAGGTGTCCGTATCATAGTAATAGCAGCATCAATATTGACAATCTCTGTAGTAGTCAAGTTTGGAAGGATGGTACCGATGTATCTGAAATTGGGAACATTTCTAGATTGGGCCGTAATACTCTTTGGGTTGGTAGAGTTTGACCCTCCTTGAATGCTTGTGCCTTCGGGATGGTTCCCGGGATGGAATGGACCCAGTTGGTGTCGTGGGTCTATCCAAGTTGGTACCGTGAGAGGCATGTCGCTCTTTGCCTCTTCCGTATAAGAGGGCGTTGCAGTACCGTAGAGGCTGAGTCTGACTCGCTCACAGACATGGAGTGATGGGTCGAAGATGGACTCAAATGCAGAGACATTAGTATTATAGTCAAATCCACCTCAACCGGTGAGACCAGGAGCTGAGCCAATATAGGAGATTCAAGCTGTGCGGAAGGAATCAGGAGCACGTCTTCCGATGAATCGATACGGATCCTGGACTGATCCTGTATTGGGAGGTCCAGTACAGGAGTAGGTCAGACCTGACAAGATGATTTTTTCTTCTTTTTCTGTTTGGCAGAGTCAGAAGGGGGGGAGTGACGGTGGTGCTGAAGACGGTTTGATAGATGGAAGTGCCTTAGATTTGTGTTTCGGTCTAGGAGCTGAGCCAATATAAGAGATTCAGGCTGTGCGGAAGGAATCAGGAGCGCGTCTTCCGATGAATCGATATGGATCCTGGACTGATCCTGTATTGGTAGGTCCAGTACAGGAGTAGGTCAGACCTGAGAAGATGATTTTTTCTTCTTTTTCTGTTTGGCAGAGTCAGAAGGGGGGAGTGACGGTGGTGCTGAAGACGGTTTGATAGATGGAGGTGCCTTAGATTTGTGTTTCGGTCTAAGAGAGGCCTTAGAAGGGGTAGGAGAAGCAGCAGGCAAGGCTGAAGAGTGTGAAGAAGGCTCAGTAACTGGAGGTGCATCAATGGTTGGAGGCTGGAGAAATTTTTCCCAAAGAAAGGACCTCATGCGTTGCTCTCTTGGTTTTAAAGCCTGTTTTGTAAATTTTTTGCAAAACTGGCAGGAAGAAGTCTGGTGCGTTTCTCCCAAGCAGAAGAGGCAGTATTTGTGACCGTCTGAGAGAGATTTTATTGAAGCACTTAGCGCACTTGAGAAACCTGGGGAGGGGAACAGGGAGGGGGGTGGTATAGAAAATAGTCTCTTACTGTAGCAATACGAGAAATAGCGGAAAAAAACTGTTCTTTTTACAAGGATCGCGATGGCAAAGAGGAGCAGCTCGAAGAGGAGACCTCATACAGCGGCGGTAAAGAACTGAGGTACTTTGGAGGGCGGGCGGACCTTGTGGATGGGAGGGAAGCGGTCCTACGTAGATTAGCATAAAGCTCTAGAATATTCCAGAGATCTCTGCGCAGGCACAGAATTAACCCATTAGTGTGCATTTACAGAGACCACGAAGAAGAACAGAATGTGGGTGGGAAGTTTTAGAAGAATATTGTCAATCTGAAATGTGCAAAACAGGTTCAATACGTTAAGGCATTAGTAAGAAAGGGCACTGAAAACTTAAAACACATCAGCCTAATTTAGTGCAGATTGGCTATTCAGAAGAGAGTTGTAACAGAGTTAAAGTAACAGATTCCTATCTGGATTATTTCTGTATTTTCATTTACATCATTATACAGACATAATCTACCTGAATCATAAAGTCATTTTCTTCCTCCACTTCACAAATGCATCGAACAATTTCAAAGTCATTATCATCATCTACAAGATCCTCATCAGGATTAGTTGTTACATCAATGTCCCGACTGCAGTCATCATCGCTCCAAAGCAAACTATCTGCAGATGATTCGCTCAAGGTATCATCCTCTGTGTGCAAATAATTCAAACAAATAAGATCTGAGTAATCTGAAAAAGCTGCCGAAGATGGAAGGCATTCTACATTACTATAAACTGAGAAATAACAAATGACAATATTTTTACCCATGGCAATTTATAGTTTATGTTCCTATTACCAGACTGAAATGCTGTATTGAAAGTACTTCCATTACCAAATACATGTGAAATACAGTATACAGCCAAGATGAAGACAAACCACATTCGTTTCAATTTGAGAGTTGAACATAAAAATCACAGCCATTTTGTGTGTAGGGGTACTCTCTTGACTGGATGAAGGGCCAAAATATACAGTAAAGTAAAACAGAACCGCATTGGAATCAAAATCAAAATCTTGAATAAGCATTTCCCATAGGAATGCATTGAAAACCATTTAATCCATTCCAGCTGTTTTTGGTTCTTAGAGGGGAGGTTCGCAAATCGATTCATTAGTTCCCATACGAACTAATGCAAAGCTGCTTAATCTGCTCCTACCACTAGGGCAGATTTTTTTCTTTCCCCCCCTTTTTTTGGTTCGTAAATCGCTTTTGCGTTCGCAAGTATGGTCTATAGTTTCCTATGAGAATGGGTTCGTAACCCGAAACATTCACAACTACGGCTGTTCGTAAGTCAAGGGCCCACTGTACGTCTATGTTAGGCCTTGAAGCATTCCACTGTAGGACTTTTCCTCACATAAGTCTTATTTAGATGTTTGTCTGTCATGTGGAACTCCCAGCATGGAGGACTCTGAGATTTGTAATTAAAAAAAAGAAAAGTAGATCCCTAACCAGTGCTTAGTACTAACTAATCTAAACCACCAATAGACACCAAAGACGAGCAACAGAATAATTTGCTTTATTCAAATAGTTCTCAGTTGTCTGAAACAGTACTTCAAATCTTGTTCCATAAATTATGCCTTTGTTAGGGGTGATGATGTCACTGGCAGGGGAGATTTTTAAAAATTAAAGTTCTTGCTTCTGTGCAACAGCTTATCCAACCCACACGTACATCTCATTCTATGCAAGTCATGCCAGTTCCAGGATAGAAGTAGATTACTTAAGTTATCGAAAATTTCCCCAATGGTAATGTCATCTGATAATTAAAGAGTTCCTTCTTCCATTCCAGGGCTCACACTGCTTGCATGCAATGTGGTAAATTACACAGAAGTCAGACGAGCAGTGGGACAGAAGCAGAAATGCTTTAATTACAGTGATATCATCCTTAAATGGAACTGAATTTTGGCCAGGAAGACTTTGCAATAACTTTAAATTCCTCTGAAGCTTTTAAGTTAAGGAGCAATTTCAGATTACAAACTGAAATGAACCTTACCATTTACTTTTGATTTATGTTTACGGTGTCCTGAATCAGAGCTATGTAGTTGAGTACTCAAGTGGGCACAAGAGCGGTTTGTGGAATTGTATCTTGTTGTAATGACAGATCTTGGTGGAGAAAGGTCTTGGGAAAAGTCAATGTTTTCTTCACTCCCCGATTGTTCTGAAATATTGGATTTATTACATGAATGAATGCAACCAAAAAAAGGATACAGACAAAATTCTTCCATAAAGGAATCAGGATTATGGGATAAGCCCAAATTCAGTCCCAACTACGGAGACTCACGTAACTCAGAAGAACTTACATAATTAAGTAACAAGTGGTATTCATTTCAGTGGGTCAACCCCAACTTAGACTAAGCCTTATGACTCTAGAAAACCTTCATAGCTATACTACTAATGAACAGATGGTGACTAGTATGGGTAAGTAGTAAGCTTGTAATACTTCCATCTATGAGTCTGCACTATAGCCAGATCTATTTGTCCAGGACACTGTGAATGCTATATTCTCTGCCCTCTAGGAGGCAAGTCCTTCCCTTCAAACAAAGACTTGACCAACAGCTGCAGTAAGAGACACTAAGTGTTCTCCTCTAGAACCCACATTGTCTGTTGCTGCAACAGGCATAGACTTCACTGTTTAACAATCAAGTGTATAAGTATTCCTCTTTTCCAGACTCCATCTTAACAGCGGCTGAAATCCTGTATGTATAAGGCTCCATAGGGTGTAGAACTTACAAAAACAGTATTTCAGACATTATGTTTTATGTTAAATAACAAGCACTTAAAGCAAAGCAAGTTAAATAACAAGTTTTAAGTTAAATAACAAGCACTTAAAGCAAAGCAAAGCGTGCTGCTTATATACCGCCCCATAGCGCTTCAAGCACTCTTTGGGCGGTTTACAATTTAATTATGCAGGCTACCCATTGCCCCCCCCCAGCAAGCTGGGTACTCATTTTACCGACCTCGGAAAGATAGAAGGCTGAGTCAACCTTGAGCCGGCTACCTGGGATTTGAACCACAGCTCGTGAGGCACTTTCCCTTTTACCAATATTACCTGATTTAGTTTTCTTCTTCTTCTTTTTCTTCTTCTTTGATTTTGATTTTACAATGTCTCTGGGCTTCTTCTCTTTATTCTTCTCCTTTTCTTTAGTAGCTTCAGAAAAACCAGTTTACTTTAAGTCAGTCACAACTTAGAAAATGGGTTATAATATGCTCTGTATTTTAGGTATGGAATGTATGAACCAAACTACTTATTTCAGTCCTAACTTTTGGGATGTGGTGGCGCTGCGGGCTAAACCACAGAAGCCTGTGCTGCAGGGTCAGAAGACCAAGCAGTCGTAAGATCGAATCCACACAACGGAGTGAGCTCCCGTTGCTTCGTCCCAGCTCCCACCAACCTAGCGGTTCGAAAGCATGGAAATGCAAGTAGATAAATAGGGACCACCTCGGTGGGAAGGTAACAGCGTTCCATGTCTAAGTCGCACTGACCATGTGACCACGGAAGATTGTCTTCGGACAAAACGCTGGCTCTATGGCTTGGAAACGGGGATGAGCACCGCCCCCTAGAGTCGAACATGACTGGACAAAAATTGTCAAAGGGAACCTTTACCTTTTGTCCAATTTTTCACATTTGTGCACTTGCACTTAAAAAGTTTGTGACTTTGTTGTATTATTTTAACTCCCATTTTCTGTATTTTATTTCATTCTGTCTGACCTCCACAATGAGAACCAGTGTACAGTGGGGTCTTGACTTGAGAACTTAATCCTTATTGGAAGGCGGGTCTCAAGACAAAAAGTTCGCAGGTCAAATCTGCATTTCCCATAGGAATACATTGAAACCCATTTGATCCGTATCTGCCCTTTCCCTCCATAGAAGCTAATGGGAATCTGCTATTCTGCCTTCGACCACTAGAGGGGGATATTTTGTTTCTTTTTTTCTTAGGGCAAGAAAGGTTCAGGGAAGGCAGGGAAAATACAGTCCAGGCAGTACCAGGCAGTCTGAAGGCTGTCTCCCAATTCACTCTCTAAACACTGGGAGGAGTGAGGAAGCAGACAGGCACCCTTTTCACTGGCCAACAGTTAACTGAAAGTACAAATTTTGCACTTTCCCTGCCTCCCACGTGTTTTTTTCAGTTCGTAACTCAAATCTAAGTATGTAAGTCAAGTCAACATTTTCCTATGAGAGCAGTTCGTAAGTCAAAATGTTCATAACTCGGGCCGTTCGTAAGTCAAGACCCCACTGTACACATAAGTCTGTGGCTTTAGTACTGTGTTTCATGCATCTTAAGGTTAAGTCCATAAAAGTTTAAGTCACATAAAAATTGTTAGTCTTAAAGGTGCCACAATTCTTGTAATTTTTGGTGTAATAGACCAATATGGCTACTTTCTATTCTATTAGTTACATCCACAAGCATAATGCTAATAATTTTTGGAGGCATAGACATTATCTCTGGTATGCTGAATCATTTGTTATGCAACAAATAATGTCTATTCTGATTTCATAACTTGCTGAAATTTGCTACCAAAAGTTTTGCTTTCTATTTGACACTGGTGTAAAATGGCAATAGGATTTTGGCCATTATAAGTATCACAAAGAAAGCAAAATACTTACACAAGCAACCAGATGTGGTCCGCCTTCTGTTAGAACTTTCTTGATTGGCCTTCTCAGAAGCTAAGGAACCTCTTGTTTGTATATTTCTTGTTGGTGGACTCTGCTGTGGTTCTGGTGATTTTTCAATCCCATGGAAGTACTTCATATGATAATGTAGCAGTTTGGCTTTCCGAAATGATTTGGAACAGTCTAAGAACTTGCATTTAAACTTGGGTTCATGTTCAATTACAGCTTTTGAAGCAGTATAATCATTCAATTTCTTAGAAGCACTGGTTACTGTAAGGACATAACAATCATGCATGTCAAAAGTACTATAACCTATATAATATTTAAGAATATAAACTGGAGAATTAGGTAATGCCATTCTAGCTCCTTTCTGAGATGAGAAACATTACTTTTTAAAATTATAATTCCAAGAATATACACTGGCCATGCTGAAAGGTTAATCTGTAAGCTTTAGTAAAAAACCAACCAACCCATGAGTCGTATCTCTATATTCCTGGCCCAAAGAGACCGGCCTACTCTATAAACACCAATAATATTTTCTGAACCTGAAACAGACGTCTGTGAAATCTCTTGCAATTCAGATGTAGAAGACTCAGTTACATTCTTTTCCTTTAAACTGGTGTCATCTACTAATGCCTGAGGTACTTCTTCTGAAGAGGGAGGTAACTCCTCATTGATCTTTTGGTCAGATTCAACACATGCCTCTGACAAACCTAAAAAACAAAAGGGTAGACAAACACTGGATACAATGCACAAGCACACAATCTTCAAGTAACAAAGTCTGAAAAATGCCATTTCTAAATTCAGTTGTTACTTAAAGGTAAGTCAAACACAGGCTTGTTCTGTAAATAAAGAAGTGTATAGGTCTTGACCCGATTGATATAATTCCCACCTACTGCCACTTGTACAGATGCCCTGGATCCGTTTCAGTCGGGCTTCAGGCCGCACCACGGTACAGAGACGGCATTGGTCGCCCTGTATGATGACCTGTTGAGGGAGGCTGACGGGTAAAATGTCTCTGTTGGCCCTCCTCGACATCTCGGCGGCCTTTGATACCGTCGACCACGGTATCCTCCTGGCGAGGCTCTCTGAGTTGGGAATTGGTGGCTCAGCACTCGCCTGGCTCCGTTCCTTCTTGAGGGACCATCCCCAGAGAGTGCAGCTTGGGGAGAGTGCTTCAGCCCCATGAAGTCTCAATTGTGGGGTTCCACAGGGGTCGATTATCTCCCCAATGCTGTTTAACATCTATATGAGGCCTCTGGGAGGGGTCATCAGGGGGTGTGGGGCTTCGTGTCATCAATATGCCGATGACACCCAGCTCTACATCTCCTTTTCACCAACTGCAGGTGATGCCGTCCTGTCCTTACAGCGCTGCCTCGGGGCCGTACTGAAATGGATGCAGGAAAATGGGCTGAGGCTGAATCCGGAAAAGACGGAGGTTCTGAGGGTGGGTGGCCCCGTGGTTGGTGGCTTGGGTGACTCTCTCACGTTTGGGGGGGTCCGCAGCCTGGGCATACATCTGGACCCGACACTCACCATGGAAACGCAGGTGGCGCCGGTAGTCCGTAACGCCTTTCCCCACCTCTGGCGGATTGCCCGGCTGAGGCCCTATCTCGACACGGGGGCACTCACTACCTTGGTGCATGTGCTCATAATCTCAAGATTAAACCACTGTAATGCGCTTTACGTGGGGCTGCCTTTGAGGCTGATACGGAAACTTCAGGTGGTGCAGAATGCGGCGGCCAGACTCCTCACTGGAGTGAGAAAATACCAGCGTATTTCTCCAACTCTGGCTGCATTGCATTGGCTGCCCTTTCGTTTCCGTGTCAACTTCAAAGTCTTAATGCTTACTTACAAGGCCCTAAACGGTTTAGGACCTCGATATTTGGCGGAACGCCTGCTCCCACCAAGGTCTACCTGGATCACCCGTGCGAGTCAGGAGGTGAGGCTGAGGAGCCTGATGCTGAGAGAGGCCCGGAAGGAAAAGGCATGAAACCGGGCCTTCTCAGCAGTGGCTCCTCACCTCTGGAACAACCTCCCTTCAGAGATTTGTGCGGCCCCTATGCCGGGAATCTTTAAAACCCAATTAAAAGCATGGTTGTACATCCAGGCCTTCCCTCCAGTCAATACCTGATTTCTTTTTTATTCCTTCTTATTTTATTCTCACTCTATTTTATTGTAACTGTATCAAATTATTATGTAATGTTCTTGTGTTTTATTGTTTTATCCTATACTGGAAGCCACCTAGAGTGGTCGAGTAGACCAGATAGGCGGAGTATAAATCAAATAAATCAAATCAATCAATCAATCAATAAATAATGAGAAACTTTTTGGTACAAACCACAATTTTGGTCTTTTGGTAGTTTATTACAAGGTGATCTTCAGAGTAGTATGCTATAAAAACCCACGGTATGCTATATGAGCCCTACTTTAGTAAAGGGAAAATTATTCTATCATCTGCATACAGTACAGCAGGGTTTGATGTATATCTAAGTTTCAGTGGGTGAAAATCAAGGTTTATTAAGGCTTGAGCCATAGAACTAAGGTTGAAAAATTAATAATAGGACTAAAATGCCTTCATTTCACACCTCTCCTGAAGGGATCCTTGTGAGATAAACAGCCCTGTGGGTTGACCTTAATTTGAGATAACTGTTTTTGCATAATGTATGGATGGGTGCAAGCAGTTTCTGATCTACAGAGGAAGCTTTAACTTTGGACTCCATAACTTATTCTGGGGGCTGCTGTCAAATGCGGATCTGAAGTCAACAAAAGCAGCATAAATTTATTTTATTTATTTGGCTTTTACCCCGTCCATCTAGATCCAAACAAATCTACTCTGGGCAGCTTACAGTCTGAACTATATAAAACAAGAATTAAAACAAAAAAAGAGAAGTAAGCAAACTCCAAGATGGGAAAATACAGGAAACTAAGTGATGGAAGGGGGAAAGGCCTGCCTGAAGAACCAAGTCTTCAGTTGGTTCTTTAAAACTTCCAGCAAGGGTGCCAGGCAAATCCCAGGGGGCAAGATGTTCCAGAGGTGAGGGGCCACTGCCAAGGCAGCCTGGTTTCTAGTTCTCTCCTTCCGGGCCTATCTCAGGGTCAAGCCCCTCAGTTGCCCAGCCTGGATAGATCAAGTGACACAGGTAGAGCTAAGTGGGAGCAGGTGCTCTGCCAGGTATCTAAGTCCTAAACCGTATAGGGCTTTATATGTAAGCATTAATACCTTGAAGTCAATGCAGAAAGGAACGGGCAACCAGTGTAAGGCTGCAGAGTGGGGGAAATGTGATGATATTTTTTCACCCCAGTTAATAGTCTGGAGGCCATGCTCTGGAACATTTGCAGTTTCCACATAAATCTCAAGGGCAGCCCCATGTAGAGTGCATTACAATAGTCTACTCTCAAGACTACGAGCGCATGGACCAGAGCGGTGAGCATCCCAACATCAAGATAGAAGGGCAGCTGGGCAATCCGCTAAAAATGTAGATGGGCAGTACAGATCACAGATGCTATCTGGGACTCCATGGTAAGCGCTGGGACAAGATGGACCCCCAAGCTGCGGACCACACTCCTTGTGGTGAGAGTCGCCCCACAAAAAGAGAGGGAGCTTCCCAAACCACCAATAGGAGGGGAGCCCACCCTCAAGACCTCTGACTTGTCCGGGTTCAGCCTGTCCATTCTCTTGCATCCACTGCAGTACAGCTCCCAGCAGCGCTCAAGAGATGCAAAGGCATAAGATCTGGTGCTATATTTCTCTGCTCTGATCAAGGGTGCAGTGACTGGCCCTAAACCCTGCTAGTTAATCCATTAAGATATTTTTTCTGTTCCAGCCAGTACCACTATTTCTAGCAAGGGTGCCTAGCATACAGCTTGTTTGCTACGTAATGAAACTTATGGGTCGGTAATTTTCAGACATAGCTTATTTTAATATACTGGAATAATGATAGCCATGCCTCAACTAGAAGAAATCCGGGCTATCTAGTCAATCTAGATAAAGAGTGCTTCCAACACTGGTGCCCACCAATCAACATTATCTTTAATCAGCTCCAGTGCGATCAAAACCACAGCAAAAGCAAAGTGTGCTATTTATATGTAACTCCATAGTGCTTAAGGCACTCTCTGAGCAGTTTACAAATTAATTATGCAGGCTACATACTGCGTCTCCTCCCCCACAAGCAAGTTGGGTACTCAATATACTGACTTCAGAAGAATGGAAGGCTGAGTCAACCAGCCCGGCTGCCTGAACCCATTGGGATCGAACTCAGATCATGAACAATCTTGGCTAAAGTGCTAGAGTTTAACAACTGCATCACAAGGATCCTCAATCATATTTATCCCAGGGGGCTTCTCTAGCTTTAACTGGACTATGAGCCTTTTAACCTATGTCACTATAACTGCTGGCCAGCTGAATAGCACAGTGGCTTAGGTGTCTGGCTGTGGAGCCAGAGGTTGGGAGTTTGATTCCCCACGCTGTCTCCTGAGAGTATGGCCAGCCTGTGTAGCCTTGGGCAAGATGCACAGTCTCAGCAGAAATGTGACATGACATCCTTGGAACTTCTACCTGAGGATTGCCAGCTGTGATATGCTAGAAATATGGAAATCATTAGCTCTTGCAGCTTGGGGTAACTGTAATCAGGCTTTACTTAATGCCTTACTCCTCTCTCTTTCATTAGTGCTTTATATTGCTGTTTTTGAAGTTGCAGTGCAGGAGAAATAATTCTGACATTGCTAGCCATATTGTATTCAAATCTGGTTACTGTTTCTTTGCTACTACACACTCATAATTAAACATGATTTCAAATGTTTTTTGGTTGAGTAAAAACCAGTTGGGCAGGGATACTTCAACGAAGTTTCTTGCCATCCCAAAGATAAGTGTGCACAGGTTTGAAAGCAAGTGTCAAGTGACTTGACAGTAATGTTACAACAGAGTTGTACTGCTTTCAGCAGAGTTAAGAAAATCCAGACTTTTTATATATTTTCCTGATCCATTTGATTCTTTTTAAATCAGGAACAGGGATGGGGTCTAGATCAGGCTTCTCTGATATACAGACCCTGATTTGTCCCTACTTTCAGGTAGGTTACTAAATTTAACAGAGTAAATGAAGCCAGGACAAAGTCAATATTATTGGCTCCATTTCCTTACTAGTATATTAGTTTGGCCAGATAGGCGGGGCATGCATGCATGCATGCATGCATGCATGCATAAATAAATAAATAGTTCCCTTGGGAAATCTCCACAGGTTGCTCCATTAGGAATAAACAGATCAAGTCTAGTCTACTCATAAATTGGGCCAGGAAGAAATCCTTCCAATTTAGTTTTGTATCTTGAGACTGTTTGGGTGACAAACTGTTCTCTCAAGTCTTGTGCAGTGGTGGAAGGTGTTAAAACATGAGTTTATAATGTCATCGGAAGGATCAATTATGGTATTAAAATCACCTGCCTCCACAATAAAAACGTCTGGAAATGTGAGGTATAAATTTGCTATGTACTCTTCACTTTGGACCAGTTTTCATGTACTACTGACTTACTACTTGCTAGCTATAATCAAAACTCTACACGACAAGCAAGAGCTCATAGGTCACAAGGGATTAGTTTTGTATCTATTGCCTGGAGCTTGGTAGAGATGAGGAAAGCCAGTCCCTCTTTGGGTCTGCCCTTTTTCATCCCCTCAGATGCCTGAAGATCCCACGCTATGGACCCATCAGTTAAAACTGGCTCTGGGCCCAGGTCTCCTGAAGTAAAATAATATCAAACTGGGTTATATAGTCTGGGAAAGAGACATCAGACCTCTTAGATATCTAGTCAGTGATGTTTCATGAGAGGAGCTTGATGGTTGCAATATGAAATGTGTCTCTGAACCAGTAATGTCCTACCCGGATATCTCAATGAATTAAGTACCATGCATATTCCGCTATTATGCAAGTTTTAAAAAAACACAAATTTTAGCAGGTTGGGGGGCAATAACTAGCTAGATCAGAGATGGCATGGAGGGGATAATTTGAGATTCCTCCTGCTAGCAGATATGTATCTTCCCTTATCAGCCACAGCTGACAAAATCTACATTAAAGAACTCAAAGATACATGCAAAAATAAATTTACTGTCATTGTTGTCTGGCCAAATGTTTCTCTTCCATTTGTATACAGTATAATAATTCCAAGGCAATGCCCATGTGATCATTCCTGTAAATCCATTGGCACAATCCAACAGAATATATCTACAGAGGGAACTTCTTTGGTTAGTGGAATCAGTAAGAAGGTAATCTCCCCTCCTTGCTACAAATATGTGCAAATATGGGAAAAATATGGGAAAACCACTGAACCCAGCTTCTGGATGTCACCAAGGGGAGAAAATTCCACTGCACTGACATAACTGTAGGAGTACAATGTTGGCCTTAGGCTATTTAATTCCTGTAAAATATTTGTGTAGATTATTCCCTTGATAATGCAAACCGTTCTAATTTGGCAACCAAATTCCATGAGACAATGTAAGCATGGATTGGCTTTGTGCCACAATAAGACATAGTCAGCCAGCTCCAGGTTCAAAGCTCTTTAGAGAACATACCCCAATGTCTACTTTAGGTATTGCTTTTAATAAAGAGATATAAATTCACTGGTGTTGACTGATAATTAGCTGCTATCTTAAGACTCAATTTCCCATGAATATTAGGCAACTGTTGAGTGAGGCAACAGGAAAGGAGATAGTTTCTGCCATACTGGAAGGTAGCATGGGGTAGTATAGAAGCTATATATCCTCCCCTCATCCCAATGCTCCAGAATTGCTTATTTCCTAGAGCATGGGGGCAAATCCATGACAAACAGCAGCCATTCTGTGAGATGATGATAAATATATCAATCAAAAGTAGAAAAACTGCCATTAAAAAGGATAGTTCAGAGGCATTAGGAGTCTGATGGCATTTTGCCATGGTTTCCCTTAACTTCTGATGTCAATGCAAGTCATGAATGTTACTAAAATAAACACTCCTAAATTAAGGTATTTACCTTCGTTCACTTCTTTTGGACTATAGTCTGGTTCTTTTAAAGGTCCCATTTCATCCAGTAGTGGTGTGATAGTATCACTGTCTAAAGTTTCATTATTACTATTTGTAGAATGTCTTGATTGTCTCTTTATTGAATCTTTTTCATTATCTGGAGAACTTTTCAGCTTTTCTTGTGCTAAAAATAATAAATTAAATTCAAAACCCAGTAAGATATAGTAAAACACAGTAACAGACAACAATACTAAAATCCACCATTTAAAAACAGACCACTCAATTAAGTACTGTATATGCAGCCACCCATAGTAGTTCCATCTGCCAAGTCTATTAAAGCATGCTTTAAAAAGGGAGCTGTCTACCTGCTGACAGAGGGACAACCATGAGGGGCAACCTGGCTTCCAAGTGGAATGTACTCCACAGCTTTGGAATAGACATTGAAAAGACCCACTCTCCATAGGCGATACAAGTTTTTTCCTGTCAATGGAAGGACAACAGAGAGGGGGCTGATCTGGCCATATGAGGAAGTTTAACATCCTAGTGTGAAGGAGGAATAGGCAAGAGAGAGAAAAGTGAGAGTGAGCCTTCCCCTCAAATAAAAGTGTCAGAGAAAGAGGGAGAGAGAAAAGGAAAGAAAGGGTTGGTTGTTGCGGAAAATGATGAGAAGGAATTGAAGGAGAAACAAGTAAAAGTAGAAGTCTGTCTGGTAGAGGAAGGAAAAGGAAAGGAGGAGGAGGAGTTAACCCTACCAGTGTGGGAAGAGGATATAAAGGATCAAGAGAGAAGAAGAATTCTCAGTGTACCGCGGGAAAGGAAAAGGAGGAAATAAGGGAGAGGGGAGAGTAAGAAGAATCCAGATATGGAAAAACGTGCGAGTTATTAGAAGACTTTCCCAACTTAAAGGTGGGAGGAGTGTTGTCCGATCCCAATCTAAAAGAAAAGAAGATGACAGTAACAGAGACCCAAGAATGGGCGGTGGTAGTCTTCCCTCAAGGGCAAGGACACTGGAGGAGGATAATCAGGCCAGATTCAACTTTCAATCAGCCACCGTGTGAGGGAGATTGGGCCAGGCATCCTTGTTGCAGCACAATATGTGCAGTGAGGAGCACTCCGCTAAGGAAGCTCACGGACAAAGAGCGATTTGGGCCAGCCCCTCAATAGACTCTGCTAAGTTACTGTTCAGACTTTTATCTTCTCCCTTTGAACAATTACCTGATTAGTTGTTTTGACTCCGGTGAAGTCATTGTTGAGTCACCAAATGTTAGTACAAATAAATCTGTTAATCATTAAAACGGATCTCTGTAGTTAGCTCCCACCAAAAAAGTGGAACTGCTTCAGTCTCTTAACGAACTAAATCACACCTGGCAATACCACTGAAAAGGCCTCTTACATCCTTATCAAACAAGTTTATGAGGCCAGAGATGAGGGATCCAAAGAAGGGCCTCCACAGAATATCTTGAAATCTAGGTTATATAATCGCTTAGACACTCTGGACTCAACCTGTATATTGGTTTTATACGTCATGACAGGCATTTGGAACTGGGCCCATAAACAGATTGGCAGCCAGTGAAATTGCTGTAATAGCGTAGTTATATGCTCCCTGTTATCAGCACAATCAGTAGTCTTACTCCATTTGAAGCTTCAAACCACTCTTCAAGAGAGCCCCATTACTGCAACAATTCAGTAGCTATTTATCATTATCTAATGCCTAGTGGAGGGTCTGGGCAAAGTGAAGTCCATAGACCATGTGCTACCCTATGAGGGAAGCAAGTACACTCCTGGGTACCCGCATACCCAATTTTTAAAAAGAATGTTTTGAAAAAAAATATTTTTGCATTCTGAATATGTTTAGAAACATTATAAGCATAACAACATTAATTTAATATCTAGTGATTTATACTTTGCTCTTTTTCTAGTGTATTTCTATTCTGGGTAGGTAAGCTTATTTTAGGTAAGTGACAAAAATTACTCACACATGTTCTTCTGAAGCCGGGGACGTTTTGAAGGGACCTCTCCACCTTTAGGTATTTTCCGCCTTCTCAATTCTAAAGTTATTGGCTGTAAGGTTTGAGAGCCTTGCTCTAAATACATAAATAGAACAAGGAAAGGCTTTCTAAATATATCAAAAGAAAAGATAAAACAGCTTAAATCTATCCCTCCCATTTCATAATTATATAAATAATTACAAACAAATTGATATTCTTCATCAAATGATAATATGCATTCCTTGCACATTTCTAAAAAACGGAGAAGACACTACTGATAAGAATGAGGTTGAACCAAGTACTTACCTGCTGGAGGCACCACAGGTGGTCTACCGCGTCGTCTTTTAGTTTCTTTGAGGTTTTCTGGTGGGGTCTTCACATTATCATTTTCAGGTTTTTTTTCAATCTGAGTATCTATTGAGAATTCTCTATCATTTTCAGATATATTCTCTTTGTCTTCTTTCCCATCCTTAGTCAGAGCTTTCTCAGCTATCTTACTTTTTTCTAAAGGTACCACTTGCTTTCCTTCTTTATCAGCTTTAGATCTTCGTTCAATCTTTAATACTTTTTCATCCTTCTCTTTCTTATTATCCTCGGAATCTTTCCTCTGTTCTTTAAACTTTTCCCGTCTTTCAGGAGATGAATGGATTTCATTACCTCTTTCCTTAGGTCTAGGGTTACTCACAATAGACTAAAAACAAGACAAAAATGCATGATTTTTTTCTATTGCAGATTAATTCATTCACAGAACTTGTAGGGGAGAAAGGAGACTAATTTAGCCAAACCTCTATGGATAAGCAAGTCATACATCTGATGGTTGTTGTAGGTTTTTTGGTTTGGCAGCATTCCAGAACACGGACAAACACCCCAAAAAACCTACAACAACCATCAGATCCCGGCTGTGAAAGCCTTCGGAAATAGAAGTCATACATCTGTTCATTCACTTTTTTATTACTCATATTATTGCATGTGTAAACAAACACAATAAATATCATAAATATATGATCAGCCCACAATACTAGCTTGTGGGAAATTATCTAAGGACCAAAATGTTTGAATATTTCCATTTTGTATAATATTTATACACACATCCATTTCTATCAAGATAGCTTACAAAAATTAAGATATAAAGGCCCAAATCTTATAATCTTATTGGGGTTCCGGTAAGTTTTGCACAAATTGCCAGACCTAATTGCAGCTAATGTGGTGCTCTGGCACATCTCGGTTGCACAACTGGGCACATGATTAGGAATGCTACTAAAATGTGTTAACTAACTGTAACTAGCAATAAAAAAGTAACACAAATCTGACATGAATGTCAGTAAGATTATGGTCAAAATAAAATAAATACAAAGACTAAATCTCTAAAAGTATTATTAAAATAATATACAAGGGGGAATAGATAGCGCATGAAAAGTTTAAAATCCTGGGGAAATAAAAGGTCTTTGGCAGATGCCATTCAAGTGGCATCTGCCAAAGACTTTTTGTGGAGAACATTCTAAAGCCAAACACCAGAACTGAAAAGGACACTTTGCTGGTAAGTAACAGCTATATTTCAGAAGGCAGGAGAGTGTACAGAAGGGTCACTGATAATGTCCACAGAATATAGGCAAGTGCATATGGAGATAGCTATTAAGTACCCCATATCCTCAAGCATGAAATGTTTTAGTACTCAAAACCATTCCTCTGAACTGAGCCTGGAAACACTGTTAACACCAAGACATAAAAGAAGCCTCTTCTGTGATATATTTCCAGTGTGTTCTAAATAAATGTTTTATTAGGCTTTTTAGAAGCCTTTGCTGCTTATGCTACTTTTTTACTGGTGTCTTTTCTAACATTTATCCTCTCACTGAAATTTAGAAATAACTGTATTTTTCCATGTATAGGATGGCCCCCGTGTATAAGACAGTCCATGTATAAAACCCCCCACTTCTTTAACCCAAAATTTAAAAATCTAAGTGGGGCCTAGCAAGCGGAGGGGGGGAAAGGATTAAAGCATTGCACAATCGCTTTGATTCCTTTCCCCTTCATGCAGCTGTGAGATTGCTTTAATCCCTTTCCCCCTCTTCTTGCTAAGCAGGGATCAAAGCGATTGTGTAGCATTTCGATCCCTTTCTCCCTCCACTTGCTAAGCCCGGCGGGGAAAGGGATCAAAGCGATCGTGCAGCCGCAGGGAAAGGGATCAAAGCGATCGTGCAGCCATAGGATTGCTTTGATCCCTTTCCCCTTCCTTTTGCTAAGCCCTGCATGGCTTAGCAAGTGGAGAGGAAAGCAAGGACCAAAGCAATCCTGCAACACTTTTATTCCTTTCTCCCTCAACTTGTTTTTGTTCTCTCCTCAGGTTACTTCCATGTATAAGACGACCCTCAATTTTTAGTCTAAGGATTTTAGACAAAAGTATCATACTATACACAGGAAAATATGGTATTTCAGATAATAAATGAATAATATGAAGAGTACACTGGGAAAAGTCACACACTGTTAAAATATATTAAAAATATATGTTCCAACTTTGTACTGGAATCCATTTGATAGAATGAATTCATTTGATAGAAGGAACAGACATTTTTAAATTTTCAGTATGATTCACACATATCAAAAAAAAACTATAGACTTTGAAACCATTCATGGTAGTTTGACATGCTGTCAGGAAAGACAAACTGTAGTTAATGTTAACTATAGATTGGATAACACAAGCTGTCAAATGTTGGTTTCCGAAGCTGGCTTGTCAATGATAATCCTAGTTAATGTTAACCCCAGTTCAAGATCTAGATGATACACAAAATAAATAACAGCACAAGTGAATGTTATAAAACTATTTCTCTCAGTCATGCAAGAGGTGGGGAATGAGGGAGTCCATAAGCCTAAGAGTCATTGCTCACAACTGCTATCTAAACCATGGTTTACCATGACAAACTTCATCTTCCAATAACATACAAACAGGATCCCTCCCTAAAATCCAGTGTAATATATATATTTAAACAGGTAAAATAAGTTTTCTACCTGATCTTTGGAAAAAGCCTTGACATGTATATTCTTGACTGTCTGAACAACACCATCATAAAATTTAACAGTGTAAGTACCTGAAATTTAAAACATAAAAATCACTTTGAACTGCAGAAAAAAATGTGATACTTACTGAAGGTATTCACATTTACACACAGAAAGTAAAAACTAATTAAATATTGCATTGCTGATGCAAAATATTAGACAATTTTTTAGCTTTCATCTATTACTTTTTTTTCAATTCAGTTTGAGTCAAAGTATCTTTTCTTCTTCCAGTTTGCTTGTTTTCCTATTAAATCTGATGAGCCTTTTGTGTTTACCACATATTCTTTACAGATTTTGTTTTGAAGACTTCAAACACTATTTAAAACTTTGATTATTATCCCATTTTCATGGAGAATTAAATGCTCAATCCAATTTTAAGGCTATAGGCACACTTATTATACATAAGATCAGGGTGGAAGTCTCTCAACGTGTCCGAGAATAAAAGGTAGGGGCATGCAGTAATCCAGCTTTTACTACAAGGAAGAGATATAAAAATGAACAACTAGTTTGAATTTAACCCAGTGGTTCCCATCCTTGGGTCCTCAGATGTTCTTGGACTAAAACTCCCAGAAGTCTTCAGTACTAGCTGTGCTGGCCAGGATTTGGGGATGCAAGGTTGGGAACCACTGGTATAACCCTCTGTAGCAATGACCTGCATGTAAGAAATCCTAATTCTGTAAGATACCAACTGAAGTTTAAAATCCGCGAAAATCTGTTTGATATTTAATCTCCTCAAAATATTTCTGCAGCTCTGACAAAGTATAGATATTAGACCGGAAAGAAATAATAATGAATGCTATGATTTATTTACTCCATTTTGTTATTTATACAACCATGTATAAATGAAAATGTAACTATAAAATTCAGTAACATTCCAAAAACTAGGAGGAAAAATAAAGTACAATAAAACTAGAAATATCAGATGAACCAAAGCATTACAAATCAGTGTAATAAAATGGATTGAAACTAATGGATTTGTTAATTCAGTTAAACACTATCAAGCAAAGTTCTCATGGTAAAGAGTTTCAAACCCAGGTCTGAAGCCAGAATGAAATGAATCAGGGCCAGAGTAGCCAACTTGTAGTTTGCAGCCTATACCTACCCCCAGATCTCTATTACTTTTCTGATGTAGTAGCAGAGCAAAAACAAGATGCATGCTCCCTATGGACTTGTTTATAAGTAGAATCACAATCCCAAATTAAAAGGTGTTGCAGGTTGCAGTTAACCTGACACACCTCTAGACCTAAATGGGGATTCTCAAGAGTCTGTTACAGTGTAGTTTTAGCTACACAATATTTTTTATTAATATTAAAGTTTAATATTTACTATTAAAGACAGTGATCACAACAATATTTACCAAAATTGAACTTAATAAGAGAAGTAAAAATGTTGGGCAAAAATTATAATTATAGATGTTTCACTATACGGGACGATGAAATCAAGAATTAGTTATGCCTTACCATCCTTGTTAACAGAAGTAACTTTGGCTGGATAAAAGCGACAGTCCGACCAGCAAGCCAACACCTGATCATTTACATGAAATCCCTAAAAAGTATAAATAAATACATAAACAAACATTAGAATTCTGAGCTTTTAAAAATGAAAGTATAAAAAAAATACTGCATTGCAACTTTAATAAGGCAGCCCATTCGAAAGACAATGGCCAGAATCCTATTTTCATGGGAATAAAGAGTTTCATTCTCTGTTTCATGGTTCCCAAAGGCTTCCTCAGGCTGAACAGGATCCTCAGGGATCCCTGGAATGGAGCAAGAATGGGGACTTTTAATTCCCCTGAAATAATGGCATAATCATAGTTGCGCTACATAGCTTTGCAACAGGATGCCAGCCAAAATGTTCCTGTAGCAGATTTGCCTAAATATTTAACATTCTTTTATCTTGTGGAGGAAAAAATATACAATTTTCTAGATGCACTATTAACACAAGAAATATTGCAAAAAGCATGATATTTAACTTCCACATAGTATAGGTTGGGAATACAGTGGTGCCTCGCTTAGTGATCGCTCCGTTGAGTGACGAAATCGCTTAGCGACAGGGTTTTGGCCATCGCAGAAGCGATCACTTAGCAATGGTCTCTATGGAGAAAATTCGCTTTGCGATGATAGAGGGGAAGCGATCATGGCAAAGTGACCCTTTTTCAAACAGCTGATTGGCGGTTTCAAAATGGCCGCCGGAAAAACAAAATGGCCGCCCGCTGTTTTGCCTCGCTTAAGAGGCAGCGAAAATGGTGGCAGAATGGAGGATTTTCGCTGAAAGGTAAGTTTTTAAGCCCATAGGAACACATTAAACGTGTTTTAATGCATTTCTATGGGCTTTTTGAAATCGCTTAGCAACGTTTTTCCTGGAACGGATTAACGTCGCTAAGCGAGGCACCACTGTACTGTATTCACAGTATTTTAAGTGCTCAAAACTGGAAGGCTATAGATTCAATAATCTGAGCAGCAAGATTTGCAGTCTTACACTCATATCTGTGAGTAAATATTAATCAAGGACTCATGGCCCAACATTTCCTCTAAGGTGTGTTTGTGTGTGCACGCAGAGCTTCATTGGGGCTGCTCACTGGCAGCCAGTTTGTTTACTTCTGCTTTTGAATGAAATCCCACCCCCCAGCACACGCACAAAGTGAGGCTCCTGTGCTGCCGGGCAGAAAATTACAGGGAATGCTGCTCACTTAGCTAAAACTTGCATGATGTTAATTCCTTTTTTTAAATCAAAGGTAACTTTGGCCAAGGTTGCCATATTTTATCAAAAGATTAAACAAAGTGTGTTGCTTATATACAGCCCAACAGAACTTAAAGCACTCTCTGGGCAATTTACAATTAATTATGCAGGCTACACATTGCCACCACCCCAACGAGCTGGGGAAGGCCAGCTACTTGAGCCAATCCGGACTGAGATCAGGCACTTATCAGAGGCTTGACTGCAGTACTGCAGTTTAAACACTGTGCCACAAGGCTCCCTAAGGATCAACATGAAGTCTTTAATCATATACAACTAAGCAGTAAAATCTGCATGTACAATAATTCCTTTAAACATTCAAGTTTACAGAATTTATCTGCAACAGTAAACTGCAATTTATCAAATGATCACACTACTATTTCTTTGTAACTTACAGAAGATCCTTCATCCTCATGTAATCCTTCCTTCCTCAACTGTATTTTTTCTAAGGGACGTAAATAAGGACTGTCCCAGCAAAACCATTCATCGTAACGATGATTCCAACGTTTAAAATGGATAAGCACTTTTCCTTCTTCATAATCAATTTCTTCAATATGAGCTGGATACCTAGGTTAAAAAAAGTTAATTGAAAATATTATTGCCAAGAAAATAGGATTATATCTTGAAAAATGTTAGATTAAATATATTCCAAAGCAATAAATTTTGCTAACGGTGTCTAATTAAGCTAGTCACAGAAACAATTACATATTAATACCTTTAAGTATTACTGGTTGTATTTCATTCATAACTTCAGATGGCTATCATTCAAAAGCAATGAGAATCCATATTTCTAAGTTTAAAAGGCATGTCAAATATGGCATTACATAACAATAATTATAATTACTATACAATAATAATTATGAGCTATCAAGCTGGTTCTGACTTAAGGTTTTCTAGGTACTCAGAACTGGTTTACCAGCCTCTCCTGGTGGTGCTCTGAGACCATGCAGTTTGCCCAAGGCTCCATATGTTGGCTCTTTTCCCAGGAGAAACAGAGGGGAATCAAATTCCTAACCTCTGACTCCATAGCCAGATGCATGACCAGGCATACAAATGAGATGAACCCAGCATTTCATCAATCAGTCCTGGCAAGGTGCAAAACTCTTATATGAACACCAAGAGAACTTGTGGCCATTATGTTCTATTTAGTACTTTTTAGTCTATCCTCTTGCTGAACAGCCATGAAACTTTTCACCTTAACTATTACTTTAATAAACATTGTCACTGGAAGTGGATAAACATTTGCCACCAAAAACCATATAAGGCCTCTAAGAGCAGCAAACAGATGTTTGGTTCTCTGAGGGTTGAAAATAATCACTGTTCATTCCTCAGTGTCAAGTGGCATTATTATCAGTAGAGTTTAAAATGTGTGTATTTCAACATTTTAAATGAAATTAAAATTTATCACAGCAAGCACATATAAAGAAATTAATTTACATTTATCTGTCACTGTAAAATTGACAGTCAAGAGCTTAATCTCAGGTGTAATATTAATTGAGTAGCTTCCCAGCAGAGCAGTGGCTCCCAACTCTGAGTAACCCAGGTGTTCTTAGACTGCAATTCCCAGAAACCTCAGCCAGCACATCTGGTGAAGGCTTCTAGGAACTGCAGTCCAAGAACACTTAGACTACCCAAGGTTAGGAACCACTGCAACACAAATATGGATACAGAATTTACAATAATTTCATCAGACATATCTGCTGGTCAAGGAGAATGACCAGTTCATCCTAATTTGTCCTAACTATTTTGGAACAATATACTTTCTGTTCAACAGATTCTAGAAAGGAGGTTTTCATTATCTGTTCTTAATGTAAGAGGAGGTAAGCACAACCAACTCTGGAGATAGTTTTACTAAAGCAATTTATTTATTTATTTATTCCATTTATACCCCACCTATCTGTTCACTGTGAACACTCTAGGCAGCTTACTACATAATACAGTGGTGCCTCGCATAGCGAGGTTAATCCGTTCCGGATTAACCTTCGCTATGCTGAAGCATCGTTGAACGGGGCAGGGAATTCCACTGGAACGCATTAAACATGGTTTAATGTGTTCCAAATGGGCCGAATACTCACCGTTCAGCGAAGCTTCTTAATGGCCGGCAGCCATTTTCGCGCCCTCGCCTCGCTTAACGAGGGCGCGAAAACGCTGCGTGCGGCCATTTTGGGCCATTTCCGGGCTTCCGGCGGCCGTTTTGGCCGCCGAACAGCTGATCGTCGGGCTTCGTTTTGCGAAGATCGGTAAGCGAAACGCTTACCGGTCTTCGCAAAGCGAATTTAGCCCTATTAAAAAAACGTTAAGCGATCGCATTAGCGATCCGAAAAAACGGATCGCTATGCGATTTCGTCGTTATGCGGTGCGCTCGTTAAGCGAGGCACCACTGTATATAAAACAAGTATATATATATAACATAATTAACATTAGAAAGAAAAAAACATTTTTTTCTTCAAGATGGCAAGAGAACAAAATAGATTATAACAGATAAGAAGGAAGAAAAATTAAGAATTAACTGGGAGGGGGGAAGGCGTCCACCCCCACCACTAAAGCAAAGCAAAGCGTGCTGCTTATATACCGCCCCATAGCACTTCAAGCACTCTCTGGGTGGTTTACAAATTAATTATGCAGGCTACACATTGCCCCCCCAGCAAGCTGGGTACTCATTTTACCGACCTCGGAAGGATAGAAGGCTGAGTCAACCTTGAGCCAGCTACCTGGGATTGAACCCTGGGTCGTGACCACAGTTTTAGCTGTAGTATAGCAGTTTAACCACTGTGCCATGAGGCTCTTCTAACTGTACATCTCAGAATATCAGCTTCATTAGAGCAAGTAGCAAAATGAGCAGCAAGGAAACAATGATCAACATGAGAAACAAAATAGATTCCCATTCCTAAAATGTTTGAGTGTTATCAGGCTAATAAAAAAATTATTAACACTTCGAGTATATGAAAACGTAGTATGTGTATGTACATTTTTATAAAAACAAGTAACAAAACGGTATCCATGCACCATACATATATAGATAGATATACCCATATCTATTTAACTGTTCTTCTATGTTATATACAAGAGTAGAACACCCTCCATTCTACACTTTTTTATACTTAGAAAATTATAAAAATAACTTCCAAAAGTATTTTCCCCCAGTTATATGAACTGTCAGCATTAAAAGACACTGACATTCCTGAAAACAGTTCAAGAAAATTGTTTTGTGTTCAGAAAACTTCTAATGATATACAAAAATGAATTGTGAAGCAACTTGTGAGAATCAAGAGTCTTCAAATGTTTGTCTGACCAAAATACTGTACCTCAATTTTTAAACAAAAATATCCAATCCTTTATGTTTATTAGATTGTTACTCCTGGACAAGAAAAGTGAAAGACGGAACTAGAAATCTTAAGAAACCTGATGGAGATGTTCAATTCAGCTGTTGCTACTGCTAAATACAAGACAGGAACATGAAATTGATTAGGAGGTTCTCTATTGTTTAAGGATAGAAAAGTGTGGCATTGTAAGAATTACAGTAGTTTCAAATTACTTTATTTTAAGTGTATGAAGGTACCATACTCTAAATGGTTGAATGTGAGTGAAATATACATGTGGTACTTCACAGAACTGAATGTTTAGATTTCTTTTTGTCAGAGTCTTGCTACAGAGGGTAGGAGCAAGATAATTTATATTTGGCAGTAATAGAGTTGAAAAACAAGTACAGGAACAGCTTTCTTCTGCCTATAAGCTGACATTAATCTACATGCTACTGATCAATTTAAAAGCATATATGATTTTATTGAGGTAACACTGTTTCGCATTTCAAACAGGTTGCTTAAATTCCTAATGGAGGAATCTGGAGTGAAATCTGAAAGTACAGCAAAGAGAAGGCAGGTATAGGGATATTAAAAAGCATATTTTCTTAAACTTTGACGTAGATATGATTGCAATTATTTCCAAATGTTTTGAAACAATGACCAGAATCCTATTAAGGAGGAACTAATAAGTTGACATAGGCATTTCCTATCACACATCAATCACATTAATTGGTGTGCAATAGAAAATGCCTACTTTGACTTCTTAAATTGTTACAATTCACTGATGAAGGTCATACTGCTAGCATTATAACAATGGTGTGTTGCCAAGTTCATTCTGGCTTAGTATGGCCCTTCTCAGGGTCTTCTAGGTGAAAGGTACTGTACTCAGAAGTCATTTACTTCTTGGGACGCCCTGTGACTATGTAGCTCGTCCAAGGCTACAAAGGGTTGCTCTCTTAGGAAGCACAATGGGAACTGAATACCTACCCATTGGCTCTGCAGCCAGATAACGAACTCACCGAGCTATTATTTCAGCAGAAATATACTCTGGCCATTTTCCTGTTTTTAACATTACACGTTACAGAAACACAGTTTATTTTTGCCTCACAAATCTTTGTCAAAGATTTGTGAGGCACAAATCTTGCTCTTTCTCAAATCAGGAATCTCTAGATTGCTTTTGCTTGTAAGGCACTTAATATATATCTTCAGTATGGAAGTTTTGTAACTTGACACTGGCAGGAGTCTACCTCACTTGGTAACACTAGTTATCCCACTACTGACATGAAAGTTTTGCTTCTGAAAATGAATAGTGTATGTGAAATACAGTAATGTTTCAAAGAATAGCTACATTCACTTCACCAAAATATATAACATGGTATCTGCCTAACAAACTCAAATTCTTCACATAATTCAGTAACAAAAATATGTCTATTTTGTGCAACAAAATATTTATTAAAAAGATTTGATTATAAGTCTTAATGTTAGAAAACCATAATTTAATTAAAACACTGCTCAATGTGATGCTTCTTATTATCTTATTGTTCAGATAGTTTCAATTGCAAGTAAAAAAAAGACTATTAACAGTTCAAGAAAGCTGACCAAGGCTCCAATCCACTGAAACGAACATAAAGAACACCACTACAAGAAAATTTCAATATCTAGGAAGTCTTCATGCATGCAGTGCGAGAACACTAGCTCGGACAGAACCCACATGCACACCATAGCTCTCCAGTACATTAGGAGCCTTTGGTTTGAGCTGACAATGAATGACACAGATTCAATGTTTTACTACAATATCTGTCTCATTTATAAGTTCCCTTTCTCCTGAGATCACCTCAAGTGACTCAACTAGATTTTAGTTACTAAGGTGCAGATTAGTAGAGTACAGTTTCATTATTCTTATCAAAGGTTATAATTTATTCAAATATTTTTGCCAATGCCTCAAAGTACTACCCAATGCTTTTTTCCACTATCTTGAGCACTATTAGCGTTCACCAGACAGCAAACTGTCTGGACTGCAGCTTTACACCATCTGTTGTATCTTCAATCTATTATCTGGCAAAAAGATAAAAAGGGGAAAGGGAAGGAGGGAGTCTGTCAAGAATGTATGTTTCCATAACAGAAAAAGAGCCCTTGTATACAGTTGTAGCTCCAGTACTCTCAGCCTCTCCAAAACATGCCAGGCAATTATCTAATATATGGCTTTCTTCAGAATGACAAGCCAAATCTGAAGCTTTCTGATATTTTTTGCTCATATGTCAAAAGTTCTGGCTTTGGTCTTGCTGAGATAGTGTCTACCAGAAAATAACTACCATCTTGGGACAGGGCAAAAACATATGTCTCTTCAGCGTGGAAAAGCACTCTAGTGGTTCACCTTGTTTTAAAACTAATATATTTAAGACTTTTTTAATATCACTAGACACAACCTTAATTTGATGACAGACTAAAGTGTATGGGTACTATGATATACAGTAATTTGAACTAAAACTTAACTTCATTATTCTTTTTACACACACACACACACACACACACACACACTCTCCAAATTGCAGGAACAAATGTCTGCAACATGGAACATACTGTATGTATAAGCTCCCTACACAATTTGGAAATGTGATCTAAGCCTACATGAGTACAACATTCTCCCACCTCTAGAGCTTCACTAATCAACACACAGATGGTAGTAGATCTGTGATGCAAGGTATAGAACCAGCTAGCACAGCCCAGTTCTCCCTTTACATAAGTCTGAGGAATACAGAATGACCATTTAGACCAGTGGTTCTTAACCTTTTTGAAAGAAACGCCTCCTTGAGCCATTGAGGAAGTTATCATCGCCCCCCTCCCTGAGGTGATGATATCTTACCTACCTACCTACCTACCTACC